CCCTAAAGTAATTGGTTGTTTACAAACTGTATTCACACCCAAGAATCTACAAAACTGTCCTAAAGCAAGTGGTTGTTTACAAACTTTATTCACACCCAAGAATATACTGTGTTTTTCAAGTTCTTCTCTCTTCTTCTTTAAATACATATGGACACACCTGAATTTCCAATTTCTCATTACAAACATTCTACCATCAGGTGTTTAATCTACGGGATATTAGAAGGTAAAACAGGACTGAAAAGTTCCCTAATGTACTCCACTTGCTATGTCCAACAGAAAATTTCCATCAGTAACAATATCACCTGTTTTTAGAAGTATTTTTTTGTTGATGATAATTTGTTAACAGTTGAAGAAAAAATATCACTTTACTTTGAAAATGTCACTTATGTTGAGGAATTCACTAATGGAGCAAATTCTGAAATATCTCAACGTAACCAGACATTTCTCTCAATTACAATCCCATTCGTAAGTGGCTCTTTCACAGACTGAATTCCAATAACGGCAATATTCTTAACTGGTTATCTTTCGAACGTTCCCGAGAGAAACACTCCACAATTCAAACAAACATTCCTGAGAGAAACAATCCCCAAAGTGCAAATCCTTTTTAATACACTGATGTTCAAGTTAATAAACATGAAACATCACATTTACTCTTAAAAACTATACAACTTCTAGCTTACACCTACAAATGAAAAAAATTTATCTAACTCAATATGTACATGATTATTTATGGAAATTGCTTACTACAACATTGGAAGTCTTTCGAACACTGGTCTCTTTACAATTCACTCCAACACAGTGCCATCTTTCAGGTTTTAGGAGACGTCTACAAGCACCCTCAGCCAAACACAAGTAACTCTGACTTGTAGCATTTGTGATTCTATTTAAATAAACCAACTTTTAAAGTCAGACCACTTTCAGCATCCAAATAAAACCTTCACTAACTTTGCAGTTTGAGAGATAATACTGACAACAGTCTAATCTTCAACAATTGATAGAAGATGAACTCTTTACAGATACATATTCACAATATATTGTCCGAACAGATCACTTACTGAAACCATGTGGGTAACATGTTATACTCATGATGAATTAAAACATTAGATATAATTTGCTAAATGTTTATGTATATTTTTTATTTACCATTATAATTTTTTAACAAAAGGAACTAAAACATAAAACAAAAATTAATCAGGTTATAAAAAAAAGCTTTTAAAAAAATTAAATAAATTCTTTTTGTAATCACTTCTCAAGGAAAATACGAGGAACATACATAACTATATGTTATGTGATGTAACCCAAACTTTTGCTCAAAGTTTCTGCACTCACACTAGGTGTTATATTATTTGTTTCAACAAAACAACAGAATGACATGAAAGCTGATGTGAAGAGTTAAGAGAATTAAAGTTTTTAATGTAAATAATTGTCTGCTGAAATCTATAGCCATTCTATTTCACATTTTTTAACTTTTGCTACAGACAAAATATAGCATTTTCCAAAAAGAAACTTTTATATTCATTTAGGAGGTTCTAGACATAAAGCAACTGAAATCAGAAAACCGTAAGGTAAAAAATACATATTTTAAGCACGAAGTTCGCCTTTCACTCTGCCTGATTGAGCAAAAGGTTCATAAATTCATAGCCAAATCTTTGGTAAAAATACTTTATTAAAAAACAACTTGATTTTACATTTACAATTGAGTTGTAAAGTTTACTACAATTTTGCCAAATCTTCAAAGATACACTTAGTGCATCCAGAGTTATACTATGTATAGTTTCTTGATTACAGGGTTAGTCAAAATGACAAAGTCCATATACAGAAAGTTAAAATCAATCATTAATATTTCCCTACCACTCATAGCTCCCTTTGCGAAACCATAGTTATTTTTATCAATATATCACACATATGTACATATGTTTGCCCACATGATCAACTGGATCAAAGCTATTAATATGTTCACAGGAGAAATAGACATTTACGTTAAGTTTAAAAGAAATCTTATACGCATCAGTAGAAACTATACTAATGGTTTATTTTATAGCTTGTGCATAGAATTTGGGCTTTGCTTTAATTTATAAAAAAGATGTCAAGCAATGAATCTAACTTTTCATTGTACAATCACAAGTCTTACAAAATTAACCAAACTTTGTTACATAATCAAAATTATATTAATAATTAACTTGAAAGCAAAGAGAAAAAGCAATATGTAGCCAAAATATTTTTCATGTTCCTACAGAGGGACATTAGCAAGAACAAGGTTAATCTTGTAATTTTATCTGTTATATTTTATGTTCCTACATGAGAAAATTAGCAGGAAGAAAGTTAATCCTGTACTTTTATCTATTATAACTTCATAACTCAAAGTTGCCAATATTAAGCCAAACCATACTTCTGTTTGCTGTGCAAGATTAAAACTAATTTATTTACACTTATTCACAATAACATCTTGCCTGAAGTTTGTGACATTTCAAAGATATTAGTTTGTTGTTTAGCTTTGATGTTAACCATAAGAAATGAACTACATAATACACCTAGTATTATATGTTGTATTACAAAATACACATGTTAGAATGGGATCACCTGAAAATTAAGTCTCCTCGTTCTGGAGTTACCCACATCTCAAACAGCAGCAAGTCTGAAGACACAGAAAGCACATGTAAAACTTTATCTTCTGTTGGTTCCCATTTTACCTCTACACTTTCACTATCGGAAAAGTTTTCTACAAGAAAAAAAAAATAAAAATTAAGTTTGGATGTACATGAACAAACACTGAAATTTAAGTCTTAACAATTTTAAACACTTGTTCTCATCCAAGCATCTTTAGTGTACGAACACATCTAATCTTTAAGTACTGTAGAATGGGTGTGCTACAAAATACTAATTTAATCTGTGAAAAGGAACTCAATCCATACAACAAATCTACTGAAGGCCATTTTAATATTATGAATGTACTACCAATGAAAAAAATCAATTTGGCTTCCAAACTTTTAAGGCTCATGTAAACTGGACAATAAAAAACAAAATAGCTCATTTTTGGTTTAAACTTGTTTGTTTGTCTTAGAATTTCGCACAAAGCTACATGAGGGCTATCTGCACTAGCCATCCCTAATTTAGATTAGAGGGAAAGCAGCTAGTCATCACCACCCACCACCAACTCTTGGGCTACTTTTTTACCAACAAATAGTGGGACTGACCATCACATTATAATGCCCCCACAGCTGAAAGGCCAAACATTTTGCAAATACAACACGAGTTACAAAGAGTGTATACAGAATGTATTTTGCAAATACAACATGGGTTACGGAGTGTATGTGATGTATTTTGCAAATACAACACGAGTTACAAAGAGTGTATGTGATGTATTTTGCAAATACAACACGAGTTACAAAGAGTGTATGCGATGTATTTTGCAAATACAACACGAGTTACAAAGAGTGTATGCGATGTATTTTGCAAATACAACACGAGTTACAAAGAGTGTATGTGATGTATTTTGCAAATACAACACGAGTTACAAAGAGTGTATGTGATGTATTTTGCAAATACAACACGAGTTACAAAGAGAGTATGCGATGTATTTTGCAAATACAACACGAGTTACAAAGAGTGTATGTGATGTATTTTGCAAATACAACACGAGTTACAAAGAGTGTATGTGATGTATTTTACAAATACAACACAAGTTACAAAGAGTATGTGATGTATTTTGCAAATAACAATCAAACTTTCATACTAGAACAGCTCATAACTGAACCCGAGACTTTCACACCTGGTGGGTGCTCTACTAATAAAGAGTTAAATATTTAACCAACTAGTTAGTGGTAGTAATGCATTTTTAACAACTCGCACTAAAACTTCAATAACATTCAGAATTTGATTAAACTACTTTGTTAGCATGAAACAAACTTAGCAGAAAAATGTAGATAATAATCCAGATTAAGTTATTAATTTTATAAGACAATATTAAAAAACAAACTAACTGTCCGCCAATTGATTTACAAATTTTATTGTGGGAATATTAACTTAGACAGTACAAAGAGTAATAATACAGTAACATTTTAGTATAAACAGATGTGTAATGTTACAAGTTGAAAGCTATTTAGGATAAATAAATGTAGTTTCATGTTACAATTTGAAGTCATTCTAGAAAGGAAAAAGGAGTAATTTAGATTTATTTCGAATTTTTTTGGTGGTTATGTGGTTGGACAAACTGACCGATCTTGAGATAGAGAAAATAACAGATAGAATATAAAGTTTTACTGAAAAATAACATTTTATAATTATTTATGGAGGTTTTAGAAATTGCACGAACAAAATTTGAAAATATTTAGATGAATAAAAGTATTTTAATTTTAAAATGAAAATAAATTTTTACTCAGACTAGTAAACAAAACTACTATATATATTCACAGACAAATGTTTATTAAAAATATATAATATAAACCTAATTTCTTTATGTACAAAAGTCTTCTAATATTTACGAAAAGACTGCTAAATTTTGTGAAGATACACATACTGTATTAAAAGTTATAGAATTGAAATTATATTGGGCTTGTGTGGAAAGAGTCAAGTCCACTAAAAACTGGATAAAAAAATATAAAGTATAGAAAAGTGGCTAGCTTTTCTTAATATCTGATCTCGCCTATTGATTAAACTTGTTATTACTTTCTAAACCGTTTGAATTAATAAATACCTGTCTTTAAGGCCACATGACCAGGGTTATTGCCTATACTGTGACCTTCATTAAAATTGTTTCTCACACCACCCATTGGAGAAACAGCAAGCCAAGTCACAAAAGAAAATCCTTTACTACGAGGAGACCAAATATTTTCTTGGGACAAAGGAAGAACTGCTCCAGCCACTGCCCAAGCTGACATTGTCTTGCATGGATCACTTTGATTTTGGAGATTCATGAACTGTGCATGCATTAATCGAGGCAAGTCGACAGATAGATCTGAAGTGTGGCTTGATTCTGGATATGCCGTGTTGATGAAATATGATTCATTACCATTGTTACTGTTCTTAGTACATTCTGAGACTGGTATAAAGGTGGGGTTCGGGAAGCTCAAGAAATACGATGGCTGAATTGGAAGGTTTTCAAATAATTTCTTTAAACCCTCTAAGATGATATTCTGAAGAAGAAAAAAAAATTTGATTCAAAACACCTTTGTAAGTTCTTGCTAGAACATATAATGACAATGTCAAAACAAAAGAACTTTCAAAGAATTTATATTAATTTTCATAAAATTACAGAACTTGTACAAAAAAAACCAGCAACATAAAAAATGTGAGCATAAGAAAAACAACATTGTAACTAAATATGCAAAGTTTGTCAACTTCCTGTTGAGAACGGTGACTTTCATTTTCTACAAAGTTAGCTTCTAAATTCAATAATTACAGAAGAAAATTGTTACTTGTAATGAATGTTCTACAGTGACAGAGAGAAAGAGACATTCTACAGTGACAGATAGAAAAAACATTTTATAGATGAACTTTTGTTTTGAAAGCAATGTTAAATTATTTGATATCAACAAAGTTAATAATATCAAATAGTTTATTTTTTAAGTGTTTTAAAATTAAACATAAAAAATACAACCACATTACACTGATTGTAATAATCCCTCACCATAAATGTCCAACATTTCAATTGGAATTAGTACGGCAAACATGTATTCATATAGTGTTTCTTTTATACGGTAGATCCATTGTTATACAAAAAGTACGATTATACAAACTTCAACTCATAAATTATAAATAAATTTATATAATTTTGGAAACAAATGTTTCTTATTTCATAATTATGGAAGTCAAATACCACGGGCGCAGTCTCCATTTTAAAAAGGTTGATCAGCTTCTGGAGTTCATCTGCAGAAAGCCAATACTGTCCTACGAAAGCCAACAGATCAACTAGAGCACTCTGAAGATCTGTAACCAAAAACAGCACATGATATTATTGTATCATTGTAAAACCTGTTCAAAGTTATTTCTTTAAATAGAGAATAGCATACAAGTTAATATACACAGCTCCAGGACAAAACAAAAAACTTTCTAGAAAAAAGAAACTGGTTTCAAAAATTTAGACTGTAGACGAGATGGAGGCATTCACGGACATATAGGACTGTAGACGAGACGGGGGCATTCACGGACATATAGGACTGTCGACGAGACGGGGGCATTCACGGACATATAGGACTGTCGACGAGACGGGGGCATTCACGGACATATAGGACTGTAGACGAGATAAGCATGTTAAAGTCAAGTAGATCTCTACTAGTAAGTACAATACTCTCCATCCACCTTCCTCTCATGCCATACAAGTAGCCTAACCTACATTTATAAATTATGTTCATTTCATATACAAGTGGACCTACCCTACCCATACTGCATCTTCGTGCTGTTTCCCAAACCTGCCCACAGTATCACAATATGTTTACTTTTACCCTGAAACATCTTAGTACCCTATCCCACTCAATTTCCTTCATTTTTTTCAAACTGTGCATCTTACACAGTACCCTGAAACAATTATTTTCTGGTGGAACTTCACAGTATACAGGTGAAGCTGGTGATGGAAATTGTTAAACTATCTTGCCCGATGAAGTTAAAATTCGTTCAACGCGAGATGATCCTGATGAGAATCTTGACAAAAGAATGAACCAAGCTTTGTATTTTATACAATGCTTCAGTAACAAATATACAACCCAGAGTCTAGGCCAGTTCTATATTCTGTGATACTGAAAGGTGGATTCAACTGTAGGATGGAATAAAATTGTTGGTCATACTGACTAATAGAATTGTTACTTCTTTCATACAAGCATGGCTACGATGGGACCCACATTCAGTTGTATGGTAGGAAATACCAAACTGTACAGAAAGGTATTCTTAAACATCTCCACTAAAATTTGGCCTTTCACACAGGAGTTCCTTGGATAAAAACGTTTGACGGATTACTCACTACTTATATAATCTCCAAACAATTATACTAAAGGAACCAATGTTCTTAAGATTAATAATTGGTGCATTCAGTTGTGTGGTAGGAAATACCAAACTGTACAGAAAGGTATTCTTAAACATCTCCACTAAAATTTGGCCTTTCACACAGGAGTTCCTTGGATAAAAACGTTTGACGGATTACTCACTACTTATATAATCTCCTAAACAATTATACTAAAGGAACCAATGTTCTTAAGATTAATAATTGGTGCAGAAGAGAATGCTCCACTATTTTTTGGGGTACTAGATCAGTTTGTGGATGGTGTTGAAACCAGCATTCCTTAAAATACAGAGCAGTCTAAAAATCCAACACCATCTTCTTGGTACAAAAAAGATCCTCATTTAGCAGATTAACCAAAACATTATATCTTAAACTAGTGAGCTGTCTCACAAGTTGAATATTAAGGTACATTAAATAAGGCTAATTGAATTTTTGTTCACATTTCCAAGAGGAAAAAATTTCCAATTTACGTTCAATAAATTTTGAAATAATGTACAAGCTCTTCTATTTCTCCTTCATTATATTACTAAACTTCTAGTTTACTTTAGATGTGAATTTATCTAGAATGGATATGCAGATCATTGATGCCAAACCTTTCACAGAGATAATCCTTAAGTTTATCTTCACCATTTATTTAGCCATGTTCCATATACTTGCAGGAAAATAGATTGATTTAGTTTCACCAGTAAACAAAACATTCACTGTTTTACTCAATTAAAATCCTATATTGTCACTTTAGTGAATAATTTATAAAATTCGGTAAGAGGTAAGTTAGTGTAATGTTATTACACCAAAAAAACACAATACTCAAGCAACTTTTCATAATTGGTCAGACATTAGATCACAGTAGCAACTCTGGTGGCAACATGTGACATGTTTAAAAGTAATCTGCAGTGAACAACCCTGGAATAGCACAACCGTCACACTACTGATGTCATTTTAAAGTAATCTACAGTGAACAACCCTGGAATAGCACAACCGTCACACTACTGATGTCATTTTAAAGTAATCTACAGTGAACAACCCTGGAATAGCACAACTGTCACACAAATGATGTCGTTTATAAAGTAATCTGTAGTGAACAACCCTGGAATAGCACAACTGTCACACAAATGATGTCATTTATAATGTAATGTGCAGTGAACAATCCTGGAATAGCACAACTGTCACACTAATGATGTCATTTTAAAGTAATCTACAGTGAACAACCCTGGAATAGCACAACTGTCACACAAATGATGTCGTTTATAATGTAATGTGCAGTGAACAATCCTGGAATAGCACAACCGTCACATAAATGATGTCGTTTATAAAGTAATCTGTAGTGAACAACCCTGGAATAGCACAACTGTCACACTAATGATGTCATTTATAATGTAATCTGCAGTGAACAATCCTGGAATAGCACAACCGTCACACTAATGATGTCATTTTAAAGTAATCTGCAATGAACAATCCTGGAATAGCACAACCATCACACTAATGATGTCATTTATAAAGTAATCTGCAGTGAACAACCCTGGAATAGCACAACTGTCACACAAATGATGTCGTTTATAAAGTAATCTGTAGTGAACAACCCTGGAATAGCACAACTGTCACACTAATGATGTCATTTATAATGTAATCTGCAGTGAACAACCCTGGAATAGCACAACTGTCACACTAATGATGTCATTTATAAAGTAATCTGCAGTGAACAACCCTGGAATAGCACAACCATCACACTAATGATGTCATTTATAAAGTAATCTGCAGTGAACAACCCTGGAATAGCACAACTGTCACACTAATGATGTCATTTATAATGTAATCTGCAGTGAACAATCCTGGAATAGCACAACTGTTACACTAATGATGTCATTTATAAAGTAATCTACAGTGAACAACCCTGGAATAGCACAACCGTCACAGATTACTTTATAAATGACATCATTAGTGCTGTGAACAACCCTGGAATAGCACAACCGTCACACTAATGATGTCATTTATAAAGTAATCTGCAGTGAACAACCCTGGAATAGCACAACTGTCTTAGAGGAGAATGAATTCCTTCTTTCACATATATATTCTGTATTATTAATATTTCCTGTATACCACCTACTAAACACATACCTAGCCACCAATTAAAATTCTTCATTATAAGAAGACACACCTGGAGAAACAAAACATAAGGTTGTTTCTTGCAGCATGGGTTTACTGAAAGTTTAAGGTTTATTTTAAAATTATGTCTGCAGGAAAGACAAGGTTCTTTCAGGTGAGAGAACAATGGACAGAGAAATGTTTAAATAAACATTCTTCAGTGTGGTATTACAGAAAAGTATATGTTACTTTCCTTCTATAGTTAGGTTAATCTATGCTCATCAACACTGCTTAATGGCTGTCATCAACTTCATTCAGCATAACACGAGTTTACTTTCTAGCTTTCTAACAATTTATAAATATTATAATGTCCTCGTTCTTCAAAACCTTCATACAGACGGGGTCTCATGTTAATGCATTTACAAAATAATTTGCAGTTAAATGTTCTGGAATACTAACTCTAAGTTTTAGTAATGTAAACCTGTAAAGCACGTAATGTTGTCACTAACATCTAAAACATACAACTCTATCTGAATAGTTTCCAAAATTACCTTTCAACGCTGAATTTGAAGAAGTCAACACATCTTTAAATCCTTCACAGATGATAGAAATGATACCCTGGAATATAAATTAACTATAAGGTCATAACATAAATCATTTTCATTGATTTCACACATTTGCTCTTATTTATGAAATAAATACACTAAGTTGTTTAACTATAAGGTCATAACATAAATCATTTTCATTGATTTCACACATTTGCTCTTATTTATGAAATAAATACACTAAGTTGTAAATACGAAACCCATTTACCACATTCAAATTCCCTTACCCCCCCCCCCCATACAATACACTTCTATTATTTCCACTTTATCATGTCATGTTCCAGGGGGCCCAATATTAGTCTGCATGTCACTAATAACTCCAACACGTTTACCCTATTACACTCTACTAATGTAAACCCATCCAGCATGTCACTAATAACTCCAAAACGTTTATCCTATTACACTCTAGTAATGTAAACTCATCCAGCATGTCACTAATAACTCAAACACGTTTACCCTATTACACTCTAGTAATGTAAACCCATCCAGCACGTCACTAATAACTCCAACACGTCACTAATAACTCCAACACGTCACTAATAACTCCAACACGTTTACCATATTACACTAGTAATGTAAACCCATCCAGCACGTCACTAATAACTCCAACACGTTTACCCTATTACACTCTAGTAATGTAAACCCATCCAGCACGTCACTAATAACTCAAATACATTTACCCTATTACACTCTAGTAATGTAAACCCATCCAGCACGTCACTAATAACTCAAACACATTTACCCTATTACACTCTAGTAATGTTAACCCATCCAGCACGTCATGCTGTTGCTTTACAATAACTAACTTTCCAGTATATCATGTGCTCATTAAGCCTACAATCGAATCAATCTATCTTATTCAGTATATCATTTTACATATAATTTACCTATAATAACCATCCAGTTTGCTGTGAAACATATTAGTGGCTATTAACTATTCTTACAACACCCTGCTTCCACTTACATTCTTTACATTAAATTATGTTAACTCTAACCTTTCACCTATCAACAACACAAAATATAACATTTGTTTCATCCCCTTTTGTGCCAAAAATTTCTAATGAAATTACTAAACTTTTTGATAATTTAAGCATTGATTTAAAGACTGTATTCAAATCTTCACATAAAATTAACTTTTCACTACCTAACCTAGAAAATCCTTATTAAAAGAACAAAAACAGGGCATATACAGTATCCCATGTGAATTTGGAAAGAAATACATAGGACAAACATCACATTCCTTTAAAATAAAATGTAAAGAACACCAAGGTCTCATGTGTAGAAGATTAACATGTTATCAATATGAAACAGGTCACAAAATACTTTAAAAAGAAATTCTTCTTCTACACAAACCCAAAAAACAAAGACTGTTTAGAAACTATAAAAATTATCAAAGTACACGATCTCACATTAAACCATGATAGTGGCCATAGCAACATGTAGATGTATTTGGCAAGGTCTATTTACCATTCATACACTTGACCTCTACCTATATCCTGTCATCTGCTGACATCATTTCCATCTTACTCAATCCCTGTTTCTTACTGTATATAAACCTTGTATTGTTTAGCACTGCTCATACGTGAAGAAGACAGACCAATGTTTTGTCGACACGTGGAGCATGTTCCACCAACAAGAAAACTTTTACTTATACTTAAAATTCTTGTTTGCCTACCTATTATTATATTAGTGTAATGTGCTTCCTTATTTAAGCAATATTGCACTTGCCACAGCTCATGCCAAGCATCACAGCAATTAACATGTTAATTACTAATTAGATGACTACCGTTATTATTCTCCTGCCACCATACATTTATTCTCGGGTAAGTAAGGGCAAAACATTATTTATAGATGTATTAAACATAATTTAAATAATTACAATTATATAAATAATGTGTGTTTATTTGCACACTAACTCATCTGAGCCTACTGGGCCAATCTCAACCAAAATTTGTAAGTGAACAATATGAACTATGGAAAACATCCTAAGTGGGTCAAAATTGAACTTAACCCTATTTCTATTTCGTAAAGCCTGTTGGTTAATTACTGCCAGCCTACTGAGTCAATCTCAAACAATCTTGGCAGGTTGACACATTAGACAATGTTGGACATTGTAAAGAGATTCAAGGTCAAATTACGAAAGTCACTGGATTGTTCCTCAATCAACCATGCTTTTCTCATGGTCAATGAGATGTAGGGTGTTCAAGGGTGGGATCACCTCAAAAATCTTTATTTGTTGATAGATGGAAAGCAAACCGTAAATGTTGTTTATGAAGAAGCTTTTTTATAATTCTAAAATTTTGAGAAGAAGTTTATGTTCAAGTTATTACCTTGAAATATATGATTGCTGTTAAACTTACACTGTTTTAATTAAGTTAACATTCCTCTTCACTTGACAGGCATTTCAGCTTGTATTCAATATGAAGGTGCAAGAAACATACAAAATGAAAGAACATTCATAACATTTTCAGTTTTCAGCAAAATACGGTACCTGTTTATACAGGACTGAACAGGTCCCACTCTGGGTTTGACACATGGTGGTAAGCCTCTGGATGATATAGACTGCAACCTCTACATAGTCTGAACTGTTCACTTTACCTGGGTCATTATGATAGTAGAGTAACATGTCTAAAATAACCTTCATCACTAAACTGTTGCAGTTCGTATCCAGTTCCTTGTTTCTAGGTGCGGATTTCTTTGCTGGAAGATAAAATAAGTGTCAACCTGATTTCTTTTCATCTGACTCCCCAAAATTCATCCTGATTAAACCAAGCGGTACACAAATCTGCTAGTTATAACAGCCTTCCCTCTAATACACAATATGTTTAACAATGTCAGTTTCATGATTATTCAAAAAAATATGATAAAAATAAAAATTTTGATGCAAAAAGGTCTAAGCAGATTTGCTTATGATTAATTCACATATTCTCTAAAAAAAATATTTTTAAATATTTAGAGTTTATATACTTATGAAAACTTTGAATGTTTAGTTTTATTTTTAAAGGTCCAATAAATATTTGTATTTTATAATTAAAAATTTTTTAGAAAATATATCTAGCATTAAGTAGAATCAATACCGTCTATAGTAACAGGAGTCAATAATCAATTGATATTAATTATTGACTCCTGTTACTATTAATATTCTCTTTTCATACTGACTGATGCATCATAAAATAAAATACAAAGTTATATAATTTGTTTTAAGTTTCAATATTACCCCCCACCCCCAGAAAAAAACAGTATGGGAGTGATTTTACAATACATGAATATTTCAAATTCATGTGAACAATACGTGTTCCACTGCAATGCCAAGTCAAAACTTGGATTCACCTGTTTTAAATGAAGTATCTTTACAGATAATACTTACATTAAAATTAATATTACATATGCAGAGACATAATCCAAGTCCAACTATATATTCACTAAAATTAAATTAAAATAGATTATTTATTAGGTTATATAATAAACACAACAAAGAATGAAAGAATAGAAAATCATCCACTGGATGGAACACAAGAACGTACCAATACATCGTAGGTTTGTGAAAAGCCCAAAATCAGACATGCTGATGTCAAAAATACATTGTATGTGTGTTGAAAGCATACTGACAGCTTTCTTTGCACAAAAAACTAATATGTTATAAACCATTAAGCCTATTATTTGTGGTAAAAATCATGTTATATTTCCATGGTTTTCCTCCAATATTTGGTACAAGTATTGGTTTACAATACTTCACAGTTTTTAAATTATAATAGTATATTACATTTACACTGAAATATCCAAATCAAAAATAATAATATACAATTATTTGTATACTAAACCTCACTCTGAACAAATTACTCCTATACAAGACATTACATTCTCTCAAGCTCCTTCTAACAGCCCTCATTCACTCTGGGATGTATTATATAGACAAACACTTAAAGTCTTCACTGAAATTCAATCTTCAATTATCAAACCTCATTCTGAACAGCTTGAGAGAATGTAATGTCTTGTACAGGAGTAATTTTGTCTATATAATGCATCCCAGAGTGAATGAGGGCTGTTAGAAGGCACACTAAAGTCTTCACTGAAATTCAGTCTTCAATTATCAAACCTCATTCTGGAATGCAAGTAAATTTTCAACACTTTTTTCAATATTTGGAAAATAAAAAATCAGCATGCGAGATATTATATTGTTGTAGTTGTGAAATATGAACCTAATATCAAGTGATGCTGGTTGGTTTCAACTTCTGAATAAGCATCATGTCTAAGTTCTTTTGTAGTAATTTTAGGGATAAAACTAGCACAGAGTTAGCAGAGATTTGAAAACTAGTGTAAGATAAAATAGTATTTTTTATACTTCATATAAAAATCACCTTGCAGGTGAACTATTCAGAGTGCAAGTGCATATAACTAAATCACATAAAGATTTTTTTTTAAGTTAGAAATAGCACAAAAAATCAAAATTAAATGTTTTATTTTTCTAAAACTATATGCTTTTAGGAATTTTCTTGTCAAGTTTTAAACAATTTCTTCCACGTGTTTTATTTTTGGAATGAAATATGATGACAGTGACGTTACCTACTAAAAAATTAGTAGCTGGTAGTCATAGGGTTAAAAATATTTTCTTATAAAATTAAAGAATTTAAAACTTATATAATATTAACATTTGACTTACTAACTACATTTTGTTGTCAAGTTTATTCATATACATTGATAATAAAGTAGTTTGATTAAATGTTGAATTTAACTCTGCAAAAGGTCGTGACATGTGCACTTCAACTATCCTTTGTGAGGGTTAATTCTTAATTAATGTGATGTTAAGAAAAAATTTTCTTTAGCTTTCAAACAAATAACTTACCATGAAAACATTTTCAAGAATTAAGATAACATTTAAAAAAAGCTAAAAAAATTTCCAGATACATGGTTGTTCAAGAGTCTTATGAACTTCCCATTCGATTCTGTTCTTCTCTGTAGAAACTAATCGAGCTCCTACAAAACCACAGATTACTTCCAATACCATTTTATTCACTCTAGTTCGATGTAAAGAGTTTATAATCTATTCTATCCAACAGTAGTTAAACACTGCCAGTAGCTATTTTCTAAGCCATTGTACTATAAAAGGGTGTGTACACACCAATCCCTTTAGCTGATACAAGCAGATTCCTCACCAATCCCTTTAGCTGATACAAGCAGATTCCTCACCAATCCCTTTAGCTGATACAAGCAGATTCCTCACCAATCCCTTACTACCAGG